TTTTGATTCTCTTTGATCACTAATTCTCTGTTTGTATGAATAGAAAAGAACCAAGTAGGAAAGAAAGAAAATCACCCGTAGACACGTTTCTAACAATAAGATAATAAAACATGGAACTATGTTGTAGTTGCAGGGTCTGATTTATGAGGACTTTTAAGGATGTTTTAAACAATGAAAACGGAATAAATACTATATTGGCCTATAATAGTTACAGTGTCGACAATGAGGAATATAGAATTGTTAACATATGTTATGGTAATGTAGATGATAATGAGCATTACGTTCAGATTGTACTTTTATATGGTTAAATAAGCCACGTATTTGGAAATAGATGCCAAGGTATCCTGTTAACTTAAGAATAATCATTACAGTGTAAAGAAGTGTTTTTCACATTGTGGCTCAGGTTACTAAAGAACTAGGTGTTTGGTTATAGAAACAACGACTAGGGTATAGTGAAGAGTGATTTTCGTCCGGTTTGAATTATTTCTTTATGGTTAGCGTTTTTTTTTCAGCGAGTTAGTTTTCTACGGGATGGGGTCGCTAACCCCATGTCCAACCCTTCTCCTTTACCCGGGCTTAGGACCGGCAGTAACTCTAGAAGAACTACAGGTGAACGTCAAGACAGTTCTACTATACGGAGCTGGAACTTGGAGAACCACTACAACCATCATCAAGAAGGTATAGGTATTTATAAATAGTTGTCTACACAAGATACTCAACATCCATTAGCCGGATACCAGCAGCAGCAGTCTACTAAGGGATAGAAAAACCAGCTTCCAGCTGAAGAAGAAATTAGAAATAGACGATGGAAATGGATAGGACATACATTACATACATCAAGAGGCAAGCCCTAACTTAGAATCCTGAAGGGAAGCAAAAAAGAGGAAGGTCAAAGAACACATTACGTCGGGAAATAGAAGCAGATATGAAAAGGATGAATAACAACTGGAAAGAATTGCTCACGACAGGGTTGGATGGAGAATGATGGTGAGCGGCCTATGCTCCTCTAAGAGGAGTAACAGGTGTAAGTAAGTAAGTTTTCGTCCTAATTTGGAACTCCACATACGCCGTTAAACTAGGTAGAAATTAGGACCTTTATGTTACGTGACAAGTAACATTTCTTCAGACTATCAAACTATCAAGTTGAAATCCAATTGTCTCACTGCTAACTTGGATGATTATATTGTTCACAGCTTCACACTAGGACTTTAGGTCTGAAAAGCACTGAAGTTTAAGATATGGAAGAAAAAGCTGTTCAGCCTACCATAGCCTTCAATGATCATCCATTTGATATCAGTTTGTTTTGAAAATTACCTCTAAGTAGGCTGAATTCCATTATATACTGTCGGGATCGAAAATGTTATTACAAAAAACATGTTATTAAAGTACTTTATAGTCATTTCCTTCCATAATCTTGAAGAATAGGTTTCAGATATCATTTTCAAAGGTGTTTGATTCAATTTTGTTCATTTAGTTAACTATCAAATCAACATGATCTTAGTTCATATCATTTTTGTTTTGTTTTCATTTCAGGATAAGTAAAAAATATTAAGAAAACAACTTTAGATTTATTGCATTTGACCAGTTAACAACACTATCACAGCAGGATACATAGTACAGATAAAGAGATATGATAGTTTGTAACAATATGCATTTTACCATGATACATATATAATGAACAAATTTTCATAAATATTATGATTATAAATACTATTATTAATAGAATGTATACTTTGACACTTAAATAATATAAACAAAAACAACACTCATTCAATATGAAAGGCACAAATGAAACAATCGATTAAGTGAGAGGAGTTCAAGAGTATGATTATAAGTCACTAATAGTAAATATGACACTAATCAAAATCAAACAACAATAGATGGACTTAAAAAGTAAGTAAGTACTCAACAACAACAACAACAAGAAATTGAAAATAAAATAAAAACAAAGGATAAGAAAAAAAAGGACAAACTGATAAGATTACGTAATAAATTAGAAGAAAAAGGCTTACGACCATTACAATTATTACCAGTAATACGTTTATATATATATATATATATATACAAAATATAGAACACCAAAAATATAAATGATTAAAAACCATTTAACAAAAACAAACAACTACAGAATATAAGAAACTATAAGAGATTATTCACTTTCCAATGGAATTCATACTTAAGAAATCCAATTTCATTATTAAGGTATTTTCACAGTTGAAATCATCAATCAATATCTAAGTTAATTCAGAACATTATGCGTGGGGTCCTGGATTCAAGTCCTGTATACATGTGCAACTATACTAACTTAAATCGATTTGTGATTTCAATGATGAAAATTCAAATTTTGTACATACACTTATCTTGGCTAATAAATAAGTAAAAGATAACATCAGAACGTAATAGAATTAAAGGAAGTAAGAGATTTTTTGAATCCAAATATAACATTATTAAATAATGATTACAATGAGAGAAACAAATTCATAGGGAAGAGAGAGACTAGAAACATTGACATTTCCCCCATGATAAATACACTAAAATTGTAAAGAAATATGAAAAGAATCAAAAGTGTGAGTAGGCAATAAAAGGAATAGTGCTAGATACAAATTACATACACATAAACATAGAAAGAATTGTTCAAGCATTGAATAAGTCTTAACAGTTCGTTAGTTGGAATTATTATTATTATTATTATTTTATTTTCAATTCTCAATAAGAAGGGATTAACAAGAGAGAGAGAAAAGGTTTACGAAAATATAAAAAGAGCAAAACAATTTAATGATGAGAACAAGTGATATTGAGATAGTTTATACCTGAGCAATATATTGTACGATATACAATACAAATTAATTGTTTTACAATTTGTACATATAATGTACAATCAAAAAAAAAGAGGACCTAATTCGAAAAAAAAAACGATGAACAGTGATTGTTAATTTTGTCATACCATAACAATTCATAGAGCAAAACAAGTTTGGAATAGGTTGAATCACAGTGAGAGAATTTTGTTGCTATGTTCATGACATATGTATGTGGGGGTCAATTTACAAGTTTATTGTGAATGATACAGTTGAGAAACATTCATTAATATTATTATTATTACTAACGTGATTGAAACATTTTTCTACCTGAGGTGACCAGAATGGAATTGTTTACGCAATTTGTTCAAAAGACCACCACCACTAACACCAGCATTAGAGTTCGAAGTATTTGTATTTGATGTTGAAGCGATTGGTCGATTTATTTTGCTATGTACATTTGCACCATTCGGAGATGGATGACTCATATTACGTGGTTTAAAATTAGATAATGCATTATTATTATTACTACTAGATTTACAGTTTGTTTGACGATAACCACCACGTCGTTGCATTTGACGTGGAGTAATCACTTCAGTAGTCAAGGTAGTTCGTCGCGCTGTTAGGAAGAAAAGAAATTCTGCGTAGTATACAACGTATTAAATTTAATGACTTTGAAGAATCAGTGACATGCCTGATCAATTGATATCGTTGAAAATAAGAATACTAAATGAATTACTGGGAAACTTCACTTAGGCAAGGTAATTTAGTCAAGCTCACCAGATCTAATACTGTAACAAAACGAAGTGCTCGTTAAAGAAAGAGAAATAACTAAAATAATTGTGTTTATGCAGTGTGAAGTGTTTCATATGATATAAATCCATAAGTTGGCAATGTTAATAAAATTAGAAAGCTATAGAGAATTACTTGGCCCCAAATGCCCTGGTACGGCCGAGAGTGGGGAGAGTCCGCTTTCCCTCTCGAAATGCTCTCACATGGCCACGCATATATAGCCTCTGTCAGGGAAGTCCTACTCACTGCCTTCTCGCGGCGGGGGTGTTGTTTACGAAATTTAGAGGACGAAAATCGAATGTCCGACGCATTAACCGGGTTGATGAATATGGAGGATCCACCTAGAGGAGTTGGAAAACCCTGATTCCAAACTAATGGGGCACATGGACTCTAGGATCCTGAAGGAAAAAATGGCGTATCAACCAATTGTTGATCACCGGCTACCATGGGACTGCATCGCCTGACGTTACCCCGCAGTCTTGTGGATTAGACTCTTGGGTCAAAGGCTCGGGGTGTGCCCCCCCCGGGAGAACCAGCTGCTTGGGCACCCGGGAGGTATCCCAGCCCTCACACAAACCGAATGATTTATGTGATGCATATCTGTTTGGTGCCTCCTTGTACCAATGTTTATGTGTCCGAATAAATAAAAAGTGAGGAAGAGTCAGATGAAGTTCTGTGATAATTGTTGAGGACAGTATGTTCGTAGGATATTTAGTCTCTTAAGATCCTGGAGCTAATGCGCACCCGTGATTTGAAACTAGAATTTCCTAACTTTATTAGGTAAAACCTTCGTATTTCAAGACTCGATTTAAAAGTCAGATGCTAGTTTTTGACCTCTTACTTTGTAGAGACGCCTTCCAATGTGTGATGATAGGTGAAACTTCCCTGGAGGAGGCAATAAACGAATATTTCAAAGAGGAAGAGAACTTTCTCAATTCTAAACCTCCCCAGTACATTTAGAAGCTTTAGATGAGATATCTGTTAGCCGAAATCACCGGTATAGATATATTCGCTACAAAAGTCAAACAACTATATATTTATTTCCAATTGTTCGTGTTTTAGCAATAGTATGTTTATAGTTCAATCAACTGCTGATTTACATACTCCTATTATGGACTAATTATGAAATACATTCCCGTTGGTATATAATATGCTATCAGATGATCGTGAAAATACTCCCCTAACCAAAAAACGTTGACGACTCAAAATTTAAGAAAGCTGCCATATTTACACGATAATGAGTGTGGAGTAGTAGATTCATTTGCATGACTCTTGAATCTAAGTTATTACTTGTCAAAAAAAGTTTGAAAATTATTAGTAAATTATGGTAAGTTTATTGAAACACAACTAAACAAATAATCATGTATTATTCAACCTTGGATACAGATTGTAAAATGTTTTTTGTACGTATGAGTGCAGTTGTTTGTGAAAATCTCTTCACCTATACACTGTATGTCACAATAACCTTTTGTCACATTCTGAATATGAAATTACATTCGGTATTTCCATTTTTGTGTTCTATTTGTTCTTCTTTTGGTTCTAGATCAAACTATTATTACCATTACAAGGGGTTTTGTGGAGATTTTTTCAGAAATTTCAATAGTTGAAATCATGAGTCAATTGAAGCTGGACCAACATGGAAAAAACCTGCAAGCACTGGACGGCCGTTTCGTTATAGTATGGGACTCCTCAGTAGTGCGCATCCACGATCCCGCCCCCTGTGAGATTCAAACCCAGGATCTATCAGTCTCGCGCGCGAGGGCTTAACCATTAGACCGCTGAGCCGGCATCCAACCGTGTTACTGTCTAACTTCACTTAATCCACGAAGTTGCACCAACGTACACCATTGTCTTCAGTGAGTTGATATCTCACAACAGACCTGGTTTATTAACTAACTTACTTTCTAGTTCTTCTTTGACTTTACGTGTAGATTGTGAAATAATTCGATCTAAATGCTTTGTTTCTTCTTTAGATAATCGATTGTAAAAGTCACACCATATTTCATCTGGTTGACGACGAATATTATTATCTAATTTACTTGTAATTTCAGCTTTCTTATTATATCATTGTTATTAATCGGCCTTTATTAACCTTTTTAGTTTGAATTTACTTAACCACTTTCCTATGAGAGTTGCCATAATGCTTTTTCAAAGTTTGAATTATTGCAGCTTGAGTTGATTGAATTGGGCTACCTTTTGAGGGTATAATTACATTTTTAGATTGTATGAGGTGTCTTTTTTTGTTAAACAACTAACGAGTTCATATTACTTAAAAGCTTAATTAAATGATGTTCTTACATTTTGATTGTAAAAATTGTTGCAAGTTTGAGTTTGATTGATGAAATTAATTGATCGTTAGATGACAAACTTACCCTCCTTGTTTGTCACAGGCGTATTTCTTTTGTGACAAGTAACTATTTTTGTGTTCTTTAGTCATTTATCTGTTTAATATATTCTATATGTGATTGCACAAACTTTGCTGAACTCATTAGCTGTATACCTCAGTGATGCAATTCATTTGAGTACTTTGCATAAGTTAAATTTATAGTCATATTGAATAGTACCGTATATTATCCTATATTTGTGTCTTGGTTTTAAGTGTGGGGAATAATGAATCCAAACTACAGTAGATTAGACGAAACACAAATCACTAATAAATAGAATAACAATAATAATAATCATTTATTTCATTTGCCAATTACATTTTTGCGTACTCGGCCTTACTATGTGAGAGTTGATAATGTCATGCTGATGTTTTATGGTTGAAGGTAGTCGGAAAGAAACCTTGCATGTCCTAGGTTTTGTACTAGTTAGAACTCGTCAACAAGGTGTATCTGCAACCACGAAGGGACTGATGGTCCTGTGGGATTCGAACCCACTTCACCTAGTTTTAACATGAGACGTTACTACTGGGCCATATTCTGATCACATGTTGAACTTACATATTTACAATTAATTGGTGAATGAGTAATGACCAATGTAATTTTTATATAGTGCCTTAATGTTGATTGAACTTGAACGACAGAACTTGATCAACAAGTGATATCCAGTCACTTCGACTAGTAGCTACACTTTAACTTGCACGACAGAACACCATGAACACTAAGAGGACTAGACAAATATTACATCAATCGGTACTCAATGATCAATCAGTTGTAGCTAATAATATTAACTGGATGTAAGAAAACAATACAAATAAAGTGGGGTTTACACTCTACCTTCTTTCAGGTTTGAGAAACTGTATAGTAGTATTTGATTTAATATCTACAATGCAACTCAAAGCCAATTGTACATATATAAATGTATATTTAGTAACCAAGTATTACTCTTACTGGCAGTGAAACATGACCGGTAAGAGTAAAGGATATTCGTACGTTACTAGTATTTGATCACATGTGTATTCGAAACATTACTCGTATATCCTGGGACCATCGAGTAAGTAACACAGTTGTTAGGAAACGGGTACTAGGTAAAGATGGCAAATCAATTGATGAAGTAGTGAAACTTCATCCGTTGAGATGTCTGGGACACGTGTTACGTATGCCTAACGACCGACTTCCTCGATGTGCTATGTTCAGTGGTAAAGGAGTAAGTTGGAAGAAAGCTAGAGGCGGCCAGACCAAAAAATGACACAAGTCCATGAAGCCACTGACAAGTGGACTGAGTGAGCCATGTTGGTATGTGTAGACTACCTGGTTGGGGACCACGAGATGATAGCAACCGATGGTTAGAGACCTTGAATGACATGGCTCAAAATCGTTTGCAATGGTGCAAGTGCATCCACTTTTTGTGTTCTCCCAAATCCTAATCTTCTGAATTCTTCATATCCCTTTCTTTTTTCTCTTTCCAAATTTATTTCACTGGATTATACTCTTTGAATAACATCTTCAAACCATAATTTTTCTGATTACAACTTATAATTTGACTACCTTTACCACTACGGGATTTGAATCGACCACTGCATCTCTGTACTAATGTGGTGTGGCAACTCGAACTGATGTACGTACGTGCGAAGTTCTACGTTGTTACTGACTGAACCAAGCATTACATAACTCATAACTTAAAGGAGTCATTAATTTTATTCATTGCGATTATTGTATACAACAATCAAATAACAAATACTACCATTTTATCTGAACAACCATTTACTACACAATTCCTGTTTTTCTCGTGTAAATTTATGTGTGTGTAACTCTAAAAAGTATTGAATTGTAAATAATAATAATTATAAATCATACCATATAAATATATCTGTGTAAAAAGTGCTTACAATTATTGACAACGGTTTTTCTTTTCAATGTATAATAACTTTATTAACTAACTTACTTTCTAGTTCTTCTTTGGCTTTACGTGCAGATTGTGAAATAATTCGATCTAAACGCTTTGTTTCTTCTTTAGATAATCGATTGTAAAAATCACACCATGTTTCATCTGGTCGACGACGAATATTAGATAAATGATGAAAATCTCGATTTATATATTTACGCCATAAATCATCATTCAATCCAACGAATTGCTAAGAAAACAATATATGAATTAGTTAATACAGAAATCTTGTGTTATATTTAAAAATTATAATTTTAACAAATATTATCTGGATATAGATCTGTTACTTGACATGAATTACTTAAAAATAACTGTCCAGATAAAACCATCATCAGTGAAGCAATGAATTAGTGGTTAAAATACTAAGCTTTCAACCAGTATGTCGTAAATTCGAATTTCACCCTATCCCTACTTCAGTTTGGCCAATCGGTCGGCGTGGCTTAAGGTAAAATATAGATAAAAATATGTACTTGGTGATTAATATAAGAAAACACCATCACCAGATATTCACAATAGAAATGAGAAGAGCATTCAAGCTGCCTAGGTATTGCGAACAATATGCCGTTGAGTATCCACGGTAGCTAAGAAATGAAGTTGTCGCCTCATCATACAAGTCGGTCAGTCAATCATATACACCGTAAAACCTGAGACATATGTGCATTCATTCTAGTTGCTACAGGATTAACACAGAAAATAAACTGAAGATGTTTTTGGTTATATGACAGTAAAGAAATACTCTTGAACGTTGAGCGACTGTGATTGACTATTAGACTAAAATTAGAGTATTATAAGTTAAAATGAATTTTTAATTAAACATGAAGTAGTGAAACTCAACTGTTCGATAACTATATTACTTAAATTAAGTAAGGAAATTCCCCAACAGACTGACTTTTATTTTCCCTATATAAACCGAGTTTCGGTTAAAGCGTGTCGATTACTGCATGATTTAGAAATTTTCAAGAGTACAATTAGCGGGAAGTGATTATAAATAACAGTTAGAAGCAAAACGAACTAGATATTAATCGCCCAACAAAACTAAAGACGACAATCATCACAGTGATGAAAACATGTCTAATAGTCGTTACCCGTAAAAATGGAACAAATATATATGCATAATAATAAAAACATTTTACAAGTGCTACTTTAATTTGTACTAGATTGTAATGCAAATAAAAAAATTAAATTTTAAATCCAATGTTTATTTTTGAAATAGATTTTCTAGCTCTGTTTACAGTCCTTCGAGACATCATCAGCACAAACTCGAAATGGCGGAGAGCTATTTAAACTTTCTACATATGACTAACAGTATGCCCTGTTGATCTCAATCTTGATTAGTTGTTATTGACCCTTGCTCTGTTGTTTCCTGCAATATTTATTAATGTATCTAAACAATGACGGACACAAATTACCAACATAGAACCTGGTATAGATATGCACTGACCCAGGTCACCATGCCGACGAGATAAAAATAAAATACGAGATCGAAGTAATGCAGTGCTAATGATAAAAAGAAAGGATAAACAGTGGGACTATGATTTCAAGACAGAGCGGAAAAATATGCATGAATGGATACTGCGATTCAATATCAAGGGGAAGTCTCCAACTACAGAGGATTACGGTTATCACATGGACCTCAACCGAGTAAATGTGGACAATGACAGGAACCAATTAAATTTAGTGTAGAAAAAACAAGTTATCAGTCATATGTGGAGAAATTCAAATAGCTCATTTAGTTTAGATTAGTTGATTAGAAACCAAGAGTATAACTTACTGGATTATAACGTTCAATTCTGGTCAAGTCATCCACCGAGGCACTACGTAAGACTTTCGCTAGCAATTCATAAGGTACTTGTCCGAAATGATTAATACGACTTATATTACGAGCCAATACATCAACACAAAGATCAATTAAACTGGGAGGATCAAAGAAACCAGGAAAATCATCATATGAATTCGAATGATTGTTAGGAGGTAACGATGAACGGTTTTGTCTTGGTACCCAAAGAACTTTCTTTGATTTGAATTTCAAATCTCCATTATCGAAATCGTCTTCCACTGAAAGTTGTTTTTTTTCTAAAGGAAAACACAAACTGCAATTAAAGTGTACTTCTACACATCAAAAAAATATATACCGTTAATGTAAATTCAACTGAATAAGTAAGTCAATCAGTACAATTTACTATACATAAATGAATCAGTCCACGTTGTTGCAAAGAATGAGTAAGATTAACAGGATGGAAATCAAAGGAGTCTAAAACAATATAAGAGGAAGCGGAAAACTAAGTACACAAAGCGTCCAATATTTAGATTCAAAGGATCTGTACTACTGTGACAGATTTCAAGCCACTTTGAACCACAGATATTTACATATACGCAATTCTACCTCACTAGGAAGCTTAGGCAAGCATTGACTACACTTTTCACAAATGGTCTATTACTGAGTAGCGACCAATGTCATGTATTTCAATTCCTTCTTAGTGCTTATAAAACCAAGTTACACCAGTTTAAGTGACTCGACATCGCGTGCGCGAGATTTAAGGTGGTGTTTGGAGGTAGATTTCCCACAGAAGATAGGTAGTGGCCCGGAGAGTTTGGCAGTAACGTCTTAGACTGTGAAGCTGAGTGATACGCGATCGAATCCGCCAGGGAGCACACGTCGCCTCAAGATTACAGGTACACCTTGCTAATGAGTGGCAAATAGCACGAAACCTAGGCTCAGAGTTTCTTGTCTACTACTTCCAAACACTAAATTAATGAATAAGAACTTTCGTCTAAATTTGAACGAATAGTTTCACAATACTTGGGCGCCGAGTTAATGTGAGACATTAAGAAGAAGAATATATTTGTAAAATCTTAGCGAATGAATTTTAAGTAAATCCAACGTTTCGCCTGGCAATCTGGTCCAAGCTTTTTCAAGGAAAATATAATCAAACAACAAAATTATCGAACTATTCCAACGGTTCAACAGCTTAGATGACAAAATCAAGTTTACTAAAGAGTTGGAATCGCCTGAACGCAGATTACCTTTTCTAGACTGCCTGGTTGAAAGGAAGGATAATGATTGTTTAAAAATTAATATATTCCGAAAGCCTACATATTCAGGGAAATTTTTAGATTTTAAGTCTGCACATCCACACTCGACCAAAGTGACAGTGGCCAAAAATTTGATCACCAGAGTCAAAACACTTGTCACTGAACCAAATGATATAAAAATGCAAATGAATTTAGTTGTATCCACTCTATTAATAAGTAATTATCCGAAAGGTTTTGTTAAAAGAATAATTAAGAATGAAGAACGGAATGATATTTTTTAAAAAAGAGTTAAGCAAGATTGGATGAACACAGTAGTGATCCCATATCGTAAAGGTATCTCAAAAGACATCAGAAGGATTTTAACTCGTCAAAATATAAGAGTATTCTTTCGAACAAACAATACTCTAAGATCAAAACTAGTAAGAATCAAAGATCCAATACAAAAGAATGATCAACAGAATTGTTTATGAAATCAAATGTAACGACTGTAATGCAAAGTATGTAGGTGAAACATCAAGGCAACTGAATGTGAGAGTGAAGGAACACAAACTGTGCTTAAATTACATTCTTAAATCCTCAATTGATGTAAAAAAAAGCTTGAGAACAGATCTGTGATAGTATTACACTCGATTGAATCGGGTCATACAGTTGATTTCAATGGCACGAGAATAATTCAAAAAGGCTTTAATTCTTACAAAGAACGACTAACAGCCGAAGCCCTACATATATGGGCTAATTCAAACAATATTAATAAGAGAGATGGAATACAACTAGCTGTCCCATGGCAACTAATAATTAATAAGTAAACCTGATCTCCTTTTTGAAATTTGATATATCTATGCCATAGTAACTAACTGATAGATAATACGTTCAATGATTCAGATCCGTTATCTTATCTGAATATGTTAAACGATTGACTGGAACATTAAAAATAACACACACTTTCAACTACATATACATTTCTCTTTTATTTTGTTTACTTATCTTCGTTTAATGCAGGCTGTGGCATTTTTGATTCATTTTATATATAAAAATGATCTGTTTTCTTAATATACACAGACCGTAGTCAATATTTAGTTGAATGAAATTTCTTCTCACATCACTTGCGTATAAACACATTCTGTTGTCTTAACACGTTTTGGTTGAAAAAGCAGGTGAAAATGTTTGCTATTTTGCAAGGTTTCATCATAAGCATAGGGTTTTTTAGAACTTTTTAAAGTCTATCCTTATGTCCATTACGCGAAATCTCACAAATTCATGTAAGAAGCGCTTCACCTGAAAAGGAAACCGTAGCCATGTTTGATGGCTACTAAGAGTTGTTTCGGTACAAATTAATCACTAGCACCAGGAAACCATGTCGATAAAACGATCTGAGGTTGATGGTAAATCGATTAGCAACCATTGTCTCACTCATGTATTAACAGCCTGGTGAAGATTAGGTGACAATAATATGTGTATAGTTTCCCTCTGGTATAAGTAAATCACCTTACTGGCCAAATGATGTAAAACATACCATATTTGCCGGAGGAGATAAAGACGGGTTTCATTTAAACCGCAGATATGTTAACCACATTTGTATCTTCCATCAAATGACTGAATTTGATGGCATATGCTACAGGGAATAATCGTCATCTGAACACAACTCTATGGAAATCTGAAGAACTAAATTTGGAGACTATCTGTGGAAGAGAGGTGTCTAGGAATGGTAGGCAGAATGAGAGGATATGATCATGCTCAAAAACATCGGAGAAGCTAAAAAACTTGCATAATCTTGTCACTTTTCTTGAATTTCGCCGTTGTCGATGTTTAAAAAACAGAAGTGTTGTGTAGATTTAATATCCGTAAAAAGATGACAAACAGGTCACTCGAATCCCACTGAATTAATTGGTACAAGGAACACAATAAGTACTACTAAAGTGTAATGTGTGCCAAAAAGACTGATAAAAACCTATCCACATACTTGCATTTTGTGGTAAGGTGTTGCTATTAGTCTGAAAATTTGTTTAAAAGTCTTGTAAGTGGTAGAAATGGTGTAAATAACTCATTTTTATGTGAAAAACTAGGTCAGTTTACATCAATCAGAAGCACTATTAGAACAGTTAAAACTGCTGGTCACAGAAGGTTGGTTGTGAACGCTGAGGTGCCAGTGATGATGTTACGTCTGTGAAACCTGTGATTTTTAGACTGAGGATCCTCAACAATTATGTTTTATCATTATCTCTGAAGGACCAGTCAGGATACTGGGAACACTAAACAGGTTATTTGGAGGTCTAGTTTATGTTTTGACACAACCGAAACCTTCATTTAGTCATTAAACATGGATAGCACTCCAAAAGCTTTCATTCTGAACGTTCTTGATCGCTAATATGAGCGGACGGGAAATCATCCAAGTGGTGGGCATATAACACCACATCTACCATATTAGCTTGCCTCAAAAAGCCCATATACTTAAAAGGTTACGTTTATTTGTTTGAGATAACAAGATGCAAACGAAAAAATCTCGTGTTCAAGACGTTTTTAAACCCAAATATGATTTATTTTACCTTGTCACTACAGCAAAAATGGTAGCCATTACAAGTTAGAAATGATCATTAATAAGAGATATCCTTCTTTAAGATGCCTGAAGATTGAGATACCTATAAAAGAAGCCTGCTCATCAGATTTAACTGTAACTAGCTTTATAAAATTTACTCTACTCAGACACGAAATAGGACTAATTTTTGAAGTGATTTCACTTTTAAAATTTGTCATTATGTCGGCATATCCAGAAAGATCGTGCAACGATGAAATATTCTCTATTACTTAAGTAAACGTGGACACTTTTTAACATTCGCTTTAGTTTTACAACTTACGAAGATATCAGATTTTGTATTTGTCAACAAGAAAAAAAACCAAACACTGGGGAACCAGAATAAATAACGGCTGAAAAAATCGAATATACTTAAAAGATATTTGAGTTCAACAGTTAAATGAAGGTAAGGTGGTGAATAAGCCACTTGGCTAATAACTATTGGGTTGTAATTCAGAAATCCGCTGCAAATACATTAGTTGTCACATCCAATGTGATGCTCGAGGTCCATTACACGAACCTGGACTCGCCAGTTATCTACATTAAGACGAAAATTACTGAATCTGGAGTCTTAACTTTAATTAACTACTTAAAAAGCACATATTTGGAGAACTACTCACCTGTTTCATTTAGCTGAAAATTAGGTGGGAGATGAACGACATCTGGACGACTAACTGGTTCAGAAAGTGATGAGATGATTTCTGCACTAAATGCTTCAGAAGGTCGAAGTAGAATATTCAGAGGAGTTATATCAAGCTTTCTGTCGACGCCCTGTTGAGAATCATCACTTGAAGCACTGGTTAGATTACACTTTTTCTTTCGATGAGTGCGAGTGTTTGCGTTGACATTTAATGAATCCATAAACGAAATCCCACTAGAAGAGTCGATTGAGTCCACAATATCTGTAGACTTTCGTTTTTTGCTAGATGTCGATTTAATTTTACTATCTGGAAACTTATGGTTAATCTTGGAATATGAGCACGAATCGTCAGAAGTAGAACTGTTTGGAAAACAACCAGAAGTTGCAGCTGTGTGAAGTAGCGAATTATTTTGAGCATTTGGGACCACGTCATCTTCATCTAAATGTTGCACATTTCTCCCTAAATTATTCTCAGGACTTTTAGTCGAGTTGATTGTTTTTTCACTGCTAACCGACGCTGATTTGCCTCTACTTGAAGTCTGTCTGAGACTTTTGGATGTTTCATTAACATCACATTTTTCGGAATCCTTGAGTACACTGATATTTATGGATTCTTGTTTTATATGCTCACTGAGCAGATTTTTCCATTTTAATATAAGAGTACTAGCAGTTTTTCCAAGTTCACCGGGTTCATTTTTTAATTTACGAACAGCACGACCAACACCGGACTCTGATAATTCACTAAGAGTAAGCTTTACCTCATTGAGTGTACTCAGCACACGTAGTTTCTAAAAGAAAAAGTGACGAAACCTGTGTCAGTCAGTGAAGAACCAGTAGCTTGTGATAATGCTGAGACGAGAACTGACGAGTGACGTGAAAACTGGATATATTTCAAACCACGTGCAAAGTAAAATAAGAATCACATGAATAAAATAAGTCTGGAATGAATGTGCAGAATAAGGGTAATCAAAAGGATTAGTAAGGTATCACGAGGTGTATGCTTGATAATGTATCTTGTATTATTTTATGGATGTGCTTTAACCGATGACAAAATATTTACGAAGTTAGGCGTTTACATATACGTTTCTATGAACCATCGCTGTGGGATGATAGAACTACTGTCAGTTGTTGAAGCGCAGAACCAATTATACTAACCTTAACTTAAGTACTGAACGGGGTTTGTTCCCGTTAATTCGTACCGGATTTAATGTGAATAGCAGTAACAAGCAAGCTTCAAACCGGACCATGTGTTCGTTATTCTCCAAACAAATCTGTCAGAGATGAAAATAGGTCGTTTACGGATCCATCACTTCAAGTAATTACATTTCGAAGCAGAAGGAAACGAAATATACTATTCTGGGAATATTAAAACGAGAATGCGGAGGTAGGGAAAATACACAGAATATTGAAGCGACAACGCTTGGAGGCTAAGTTGTGATTATAAAAACCCGTGGGTCATGTATTAAGCAACTTACACGACGAAGTATAATCACCCTAAGGACGCTACAAGGAAGACGACGCATCTCCAGACAAGTCCATTCACTACAATAACTTCGCAGATTACCATGCCTTGATTAAATCGAAGTCCAATTCTAGATTTTGTTCCTACTTCATTTAACGTTGAGGTTTCGTGTAGACAGTAACGCAGAATGTGTGGAATATGACCCAGCAACTTCACAAATACTGATATGGAAAGAAAAGGAAAATGATATAGTAACCAAAACTCAAAACTGTTCTAGTGAAAGCCGCAAACAACATTAACTAGTCAGAATAATTTATATCCAAATCCATTGGGAGTATTTTGGTGAGCTATACTATCCTAGTGGAATGACACTATCCGTTAATAAACACATTTAACCAGGTCCCTGGTTGCAAAGTTTCAGGATGGAAAAAAGATTTACGTGACAGGAAAAGTAAATCTATCGAACTACTAACCGAACTTGTATCAACCGACTTGTCTCCAAGGGTTTCACCGAACTTGACCAGAGCCGCTACCACACTAGCGCTCATTATCAGCTGACTAGATATTTCGAAATATCCACGTTTCAAACTTCAAATTTCAAAGCTTTGCCAAGTAGAATTAATGGACTGTTTTCTCTTAGTGTTTGAGTGGTGTTAGATAATACGTTATTGATGTAAGATACAATCTTTTTGGTATTGCTTTTTGAACTGGAAAGCGGGAAAATCAGCTGATAATAGTAGAAGTCCTCTAGTTCCCAGTAATAAGGAAAGAGCGCCAGTAAACCTGTGTTGATCCTTGGGAACTGTTTTCCAGTAAAATTCCAGAATATTCTTCACACTGCTCACTGATAGGGCTGATGCCACTTGTTCGAGTAAGCTGTTCCAGATTCGGACTACTAGGTCAGAAAATGGAACCCCACTGTGAGTTTATGTGATCGCGGTTTTCGAATCTTCTTACTATGGCCTTGGAGAGTATTGGTTCCGAAGGCGAAAGGATGTAACATATCAACGCCCAAGTCGTCATTAAACATACGGAATTCCAATATAAGGTCACCTCCTTTTCAACGATACGATAAGGGGAAAGGGTTCATGTGTTTTAAGTGTTCATCGTAATGGAGTTTGGAAAGACCCTCCACTAACTTTTGTTCCTGCACGCTGAGCACGCTCGAACGCGGTAATATCCCTAATAAGACATGGACTGACTGCCTGGACAAAGTACTCTAGTTGTGATCTTATACCGTTGGGATATTGTGATGTTTGAATGAACTAATGATACCTCTGTATTGGTTGAATGCTTGATTTCGAATTCTAAATACAATACATTCGTTTGTGCCTGTGTCTTCTTAATTCAATTGCGTTAATCCTGGAATTCCTAGTTCATACGATAATTTGAATACCATATTGGCGTCGAGATGTTGTCTGCAATGGAAAAGTTAGATATTCATTCAACTCCTGAAGCTTTTGAGGATTACTTGGTAAGGTTCGAAATCTGGAGCATGATCAAGAAAGATGTTAAAGGTGATAAAATTGTGGCACATTTTCTGACATTCATTGGGAGAGAAGCGTACAGCTTATTAAAAACTTTGGCATATCCAGAAAAACCTATCTCACTCTCCTATGCAACTCTTAAAGAGCTATTATTAAGTCATGTAAAATGTACCAGTTTTGAATGCCGTGAAAGGGCGCAGTTTCATAAGATGGTTCGTCAAAATGACCAAAAGGTTCGGGAATTCATCCTTGAATTACAGAAACAAGCTGCCAAGTGTAATTTCGGTGATCAACTTCATGTGCAATTGAGAGGTCGATTAATTGCAGGAATTAACATACCGAGTTTGGAAAAAGAGCTGTTAAGAATGCCAAACTGTTCCTTTCAAGATGCTAGAACTGCATGTATTAACTACGAAGCAGTCAATGAACTTGATATCCAGTCGATGAACATTTCTAATACTTTGCTTAGTCGTCGTGATGAACTACAATCTCAGGGTCAATCAAACTTGCGTTCATTTAACAGTGATTCCTATTCTCGTGTAAATATGAAAGGTGTTTCAACGAGGAATTACAAAGCAAATCACAAAGGTGAGATGAAGTTTGGTAAATGTTTATCATGTGGAAAGTTTCATGCTCGCATTTCATGTGTATTTCGTAATGCTAAATGTTTTAAATGTGGTAAGGTAGGACACATTCAGTCAGTATGCAAAGCTACTGTCCATTTTGCTTCGAGCTGTACTAAATCTTGTAATTTAAATTTCAATAATTCGGATGTTTCTAGTGATCATTTGTCTTTGTCCACTATTTCGAAAGGTAATGCTCATATTCAGAAGCGATTATATACATCGCTTGGTTCATTTCATGACTTTATTCTGGACACAGGCAGTATAGAGTCCATTATTTCATTCAAGAACTTGAAAGCTTTAGATCCTAACGTTGTTGTACGACCCACTGAAGTATCAATACTGGGGATTACTGGACACAGACTGCCCATACGAGGATGTTGTGAATTGCTAATCAGAGATGATAATTCTTCATACATACCTTGTGAATTTTTAGTTAGCGAAACAGGACTGTCAATATTGGGTTTAAAGAATTTGAAGAGGCTTAAGGTGGAGTTGTCCTTCTTAGTTTCTAAAGAAAATTCTGATACTTTACTTAAAGATTTGATAGCTATGTGTGCTAAATGCAGTGGAGGTATGAAAATTAAGCCTATAAAACTTCAAGTACAGGGTGATCCCGTCTTTCTTAAAAGACGAATAATTCCTTATGGTCTTCGAGAAGCAGTACATAAGACATTAAACGATTTGTGTGCGAAAGGCATAACTGAACCAATTCAGTCTTCAGCATGAGGTACTCCTATCGTTACGCCACTGAAGTCGGACGGCAAGACCCCTAGAATCTGTGGTGACTATAGATTAACTCTGAATTCCCGTTTGTTAAAGCAAACGTGCACGACGGTAGAAGCTGAAGATATTCTAAATTGACTTCATGGTTTTTGAAAGATCCAAACTATGGTTTGGATTGCCGGACAGCTGTCTGGATGAGTTAGATACGCGCCCTTGCCCGTTTGAAACCAAAACAAAGTAATTGGGTGAGATGACGGTTCCATAATTTATCATACATTTAAGTGTACATTATTACCTAAACAAATATAACCACTCAGCTATCCAACCAATAATTGTTCAATTGATCAAATCTAAACTACAATAAATAAGAAAGTTGATACAGGATGCAAGAAAATTACCAATCACCACAAATAACTGTTATTCTATCCTGTCTGGATAGATCACGTACAGATTCGTTCAAAAGGTAATAATTGGTCGCTCTATAACAGAGTGTTTTCAATTCTGGAAGAATGCTTCAATCCACAACCAAAATGCACAATTCCAGTCAACACAGGTCAAGCAATCAAAAGCAGGGATAAACCAAAATGGCTGCCGCCCAGACTTAGTATAAAGTAAAACAACATAAGTGCAGTTCGGGAAGAAACATGGGGAATTAGTGAAGGTGTAGTAAAAACGAAAACTATAATAAAAAATACAAGTATTAACAATTCAAATGTAGTCAAAAAGTTAACAATGTAAAACTAACAGGATCAACAGGAACAAGGTGCAACTATGTAGCGTGGCGTCGAGTTGAGGTTAACTATGAACACCGCTACCAGGAAACACGTGCCAGATAAATCAGAAGGCGTAAGAAGCTCGTTCCAAATGACTCCATAAAATCCCCGAGAAGCCGAATACCAGAAGACAGTTAATGGACCAAGTCGAGGTTTATTAGCTGGCGATCTCGTGGCATCGAAAGGATACCGAGATCGTGCCAGGATACAAGCTTGGTTACAGAACGTAACCGAATTCGCGCGAAGTTACAATCAAAGTGTAAGCGAAAGAAAGGAAGCAGAAAATAGCTGTCATTAGCACAGTCAAACAAAAGCACGTTAAAACAAACACTGGTACAGTTGGTTATAATAATAATTGTTGTTATTAAACCAGTCGTGTTCTCGTGATAAACGTGAGTCACTACAGGAGCCCCCCGCTAGAAAGGGTTTACACTTTCGATAAATAGCGGTTTGAATCGTGGGACTGATCGGCTGATGAGCGATTGTAGGACGGAAGAATTGGCGAACAGGAAAGCGATCGTTGATCGTCGAGTTGCCAACGAAAGTCGTTTTCGGAGAACAGTACCAGGAGCGATGTGTTGTATTTATTGCTCGAGTCGGCATGCTACACCAGAATGGTTTGTATCCAGAATCTGAAGAGGGCGTTCGTACGGGTCCGGACCATAAACGCTGCAGACGAAGGACGAAACCACGTTGAGCCAAAAGACCAGAAGCGACCATAACGACCAAGTTCGAGACCAAGCATATGCCAAGCATTCGAAACCAATATATCGACTGAGTACGTTGACAAGAGCGTGGGTGGCCAATCCAGCTTTCGCCAAAGTTGACTGAAGTCGACGAAACCAAACGTAGATGGTCGAAGGCGTGGGCTCAGGAAACAAAAAGAAAATCAAAAAAAGAAGAGTGTAGCATACGTGTAGTATAGGAATAATCCTACACCGTATCGGTTGTTGAATGTGCGACTATTCGCGGAAGCGTACGGGTAATCGTACTTGGCGACCGGAACGTGAGACGGCAGTCTCGTTTGCGTCGCGTGAGCCTGCAATCTCATCCGAAGTCAAGGGCGGCGTGGTCTGCTGATCTGGACGTGAGACTGTCGTCTCGTCCGTAGACGGTGCAGATGACGCGTGCTGTTGACCGGGACGTGAGAATGAGGTCTCAGATGCATCTAGCGTGGGACCTGAAGAAGATTTAAGGATCCCGCTAGGTTTGATAGGTCTAGCATTGAATCTCAGGGTGTCAGATAGGGCACTGTCATCGACGTGTGCTGGTTTGAGACGATCAATGCTGACGATCTCGACGCGTCCATATCGATCAACCTTGAAGGTCTTTTCGTGACGAGCGATCACGTGAAAAGGGCCTTCGTAAGGTTGTTGCCAAGGTTTGCGTACCAAATCTACTCGTACAAAAACATGTGAACAGGTAGATAACTCTCGAGGGAGAGCGACCTGTCGATGTTGTATTCGAGTTGACACCGGAGACAGCGTTCGCATAAATGCAGACAGTCTATGGACGTAGTCTGATTTACCGAAATTAGGTCTGCTCCGTGGTGTGAAGAATTCTCCGGGCAGACGCAATGTCGTGCCGTATACAAGTTCAGTGGCGGAACATTGGATATCTGCCTTTAAGCTCGTTCTCGCCCCTAAAAGAACGAGCGGTATGGTTTCGTGCCAGTTGCCGTTTTCGTGTGCTCGTAGAACACTTTTAAGTTGGCAGTGAAACCGTTCAACTTAACCATTTGGTGCTGGGTGGTAGACGGATATGCTTATGCGTATGCATTTCGTACCAAGCAGCCGGGTCAGCGAGGAGAATAGTTAATAGGGTAACATTTCTCGAATAAAGCGTGGAATTCATCATCACGCGAATAAAAAGTGACAAGGATTCGGTACACATACGTGTGAGTCTATTATATTAATACTATTATTATCGTTATCCGTCATGTCGCGTATATTATATATTAAACAATATGAAAATATACGACAGACGTGGATA